TTGATTTTTATTGAGCTCTACATGTTTCTCTGTTCCCCTTCCTGCCTCTTCCTTCCCACTTCAACCCTCCCCCAAAGTCTCCATGCTCCCAATTTACTCAGGAGATCTTGTCTTTTTCTACTTCCCATGTAGATTAGATCTATGTAAGTCTCTCTTAGTGTCCTCATTGTTGTCTAAGTTCTCTGGGATTGTGGTTTATAGGCTGGTTTTTCTTTGCTTTATGTTTAAAAACCACCTATGTTGGCACAGCTTTATTTTCTAGCATATATTAATTACACAGAGCAATGGATTTCATTAGGATATTTTATAAACATGTGTAACATTGTTTTTTAAGTATATATTTTTTAATAAAAGCAGTACCCAATGTATTAGTGCTTCTTAAGGATTTCTGGATGTAATTCATTTTCTGTTGGTTCTCCCTCATCTCCCTCATCATTCTATCTTTCCTTTATACTCCACTCCTGTAACTTCTCTTCTGCTTTAATGAACCATGTGTTCTTCTCATATAATGTGTTTTTTCTTGAGTTATCATGGACAAGACTGTAGATGGATGCTGCTTGTCCATTTCCCAGCTACCTGGGCCCAAAATAATCACACAGAAACTATATTAATTGCAAAACTGTTTGGCCAATAGCTTGAGTGTATTTCTGGCTAACTCTTACATCTTAAATTACCCCATTTCTATTATTTTATATTTTACCATGAGGCTCATGGTTTACTGGTACTGGCACATGGGCATCTTTCTTCAATGGTGGCTGCATGATGTTTCTCTGACTCTGCCTACCTTCGATATCTTTTCCAGCCTGGCTATATCCTGTTAAGCCATTGACCAAAAGCAGCTTTTTTAATTATCCAATGGTATTCACAGCATGCAGAGGTGAATCCCACATCACAAGGCTGTCTTTTTTTCTCCTTTATTTCCTTTAATATTATTTTTGGTGTTGGCTTAGTTACAATTAATTGCCCTTATTTGCGTTTTCTATGGTGGTCCCACTTCTCCATTAATTTTAAGAACTAGTATTCTAAAAGACAACTAAGGAATCACTCAACATCCTTAGCCATCAGAGAAATGAAAATCAAAACAATTCTGAGATTCCATCTTATACCTGTCAGAATGGCCAAGATCAAAAACACTGATGATAGCTTATGCTGGAAAGGATGTGGGATAAGGGGAATACTCCTCCATTACTGGTCAGAGTGCAAACTTATACAGCTGCTTTGGAAATTAGTATGGCGATTTCTCAAAGAATTAAGAAACAACCTACATCAAGTGCCAGTAATACCACTTTTGGATATATACGCAAAGAATGCTAAATCATACCACAGGACATGTCCTCAACTATGTTCATAGCAGCATTATTTGTCATAGCCAGGAACTGAAAACAACCTAAATACTCCTCAACCAAAAATTGGATAAGGAAACTGTGGTACATTTACACAATGGAGTACTACACAGTGGAAAAAAATAATGGCATATTGAAATTGGGAGACCAATAAATGGATCTAAAAAACATCATATTGAGTGAGGTAACCCAGACTCGGGAAGATAAATATCATATGTTCTCACTCATAAGTGGCTTTTAGACATAAAGCAAAGAAAACCAGTCTACAAATCATACTCCTGGAGAACCTAGACAACAATGAGGACCCTAAGAGAGACATACATAGATCTAATCTACATGAGAAGTAGAAAAAGACAAGATCTCCTGAGTAAATTGGGAGCATAGCAACCATGGGAGAGGGTTGAAGGGGAGGAGGAAGGGAGGGAAGTGGAGAAAAATAAATATCTCAATAAAAGCAATATAAATCAATCAACCAATCAATAAATAAATAGTGGCCCTAGAATACAATATAGAAAAGAAAAAAATATTCTACAAGGAGAACAGAGAATCCAAATTAGGATGCCTATTAAAGAGGTTGAACCTTCTTAAAATTAAAGAATTCACAATGTCCTGATGGTTTTATTTATGATTTTGTTTTAAATTGATTCTTGTTCTTTCTATGTGGGTATGTTAGCTGCATAAAACAATAGATTTCATTTATGACTGTCACTAAACACATTAAGAACTCCCGGGACCTTTTCATAAAATCAAAGCATTCTCGGTGTGTCCTGTGCAGTCAACATTGCCTTCACACAAACCACAAAATAGATGCTGCAGGGAAAACTCATAGGCCAATATGTTTAAAAATTCTTCCATAAGAATTGGCCAATATGCATTTAAAAGTTGTACCTTGGAATTTGTTGGATGTTTTTAATTTTGCTTTGCTGAAGATACTATTAAAATGAAATTGTAAGCCACAGACAGATAAAACATTTGTAAAACACTTATGACAGACTGTTGTCAGGGTTTCTGTCCTGCCCGTTTCTCACAATTGTTAATTTCCAAAAACATTACGAAGAGGTCTATATTAGTTATAAACTAATTGGCTCATTAGCTCAGGCTTCTTATTAACTTCTAGAACTTATATTAACCCATTATTCTTGTCTATGTTAGCCATGTGGCTCAGTACCTTATTTGGCGAGGCAGTCACATCTTACTTCTTCTGTGGCTGGGTCACAAATTCAGACTAGGACTTGCTTCTTCCCAGAACTCTCCTGTTCTCATTGATTCGCTTCTAATTCCTGTCTGGTTGTCCCACCTATACTTCCTGCCTGGCTACTGGCAAATCAGCATTTATTTAAAATATAATTGAAAGAATATAAACCATTGTCCCACACCACTTCCCCCTCTTTAAAAAAAAACACACGAACTCTTAATCTAATATCCTTTGTAGAGCTTATCTTCTGACCATTAGGCATAACAACTTGTAACAAACATTATAAACAAAGGAAAATATCCATAGTCCATTTTTTGGGGGAATGTGGACGTAGTTTTCCAGGCTACTTCGTGTTGGTTGAGGGAACTGAGAAACTTATGGGTATCTAAAGTAAATGTAGAATTATGATCTAGTCCTAACTGGAATATCCTGTGAGGCTTGATCATCTCAGTCAGCATATTGAATCTGTTCTGCGTGTAGAACTCAGGCATCCTGGCCATCTGTTCTTACTGGAGATTTCTCATGTGGTCTTTCTTGATCAAACCTGATTTTTCTTAACTCAGAATAAATCCACAGCCTCTAATTTTCTGTGGAAACAAAAGCAAAACCTCTTCTCCAAAGTAACATATTTTTTTACTTCAATTTTAAAGTCAAGGTATTTTCAAAATCACTATCTTGGATTAATTCAACAAAATTTATTTTTTTAATTAATTTATTTATTTATTAAAGATTTCTGTCTCTTCCCCGCCACTGCCTCCCATTTCCCTCCCCCTCCCCCGATCATGTCCCCCTCCCTCATCAGCTCGAAGAGCAATCAGGGTTCCCTGACCTGTGGGAAGTCCAAGGACCACCCACCACAATCCAGGTCTAATAAGGTGAGCATCCAAACTGCCTAGGCTCCTCCAAAGCCAGTACGTGCAGTAGGATCGAAAACCCATTGCCATTGTTCTTGAGTTCTCAGTAGTCCTCATTGTCCGCTATGTTCAGCAAGTCCAGTTTTATCCCATCAGCAGAATTTATAAACAAATATCTTTTAGCAGCTGTTGCTCCTTCGTCAGCATTCAAACAATTCAAAGAGAACATAATAACATACAATATCCAGACTCTCTGTGTATTTTTTATCTTTACATGGCTTTATTTTAACCTCTATTTCTTTAATTTTTAATTTTTGGACTTTTGAGACAGGGTTTCTCTGTGTATGTTTGATTATCCTGAAATTCACTCTGTAGACCAGGCTGTCCTTGAACCCACAGAAATCTGTCAGTCTCTGTCTTTCAGGTGTTGGGATTGAAGGTGTGTACCATGACACCTTGAATTCAGAGGTCTGCCCACCTCTATCTCCCAAGTGTTGGGATTAAAGGTGTGTGCCACCACACCTAACTAATCTCTTTCTTTCTTTTTTATTTTAAAGGACTTTAACCTTTAGCCTACATATATTTTTAACAGACTGTAAACCATTTAGAGGTTTCCTTCATCTCTGACTCTCTCTTTACTGTATATCTCTCTTTTTCTGACCACATGAGTCTTTAATTTGCTAAGTGATATGGTTAAGGTTAAAGCCATTGCTTTGGCAGCTGAATCTAGCCCATTTCTTAGCTTTCTGAGATTCCAGCCTCATGGCAGAGGTACCGGATGTAACCATGTTTATGGCCACAATTCTATGGCATTTCAAGGTCCCTGCCGGCAAGCATGCTGCAGCAGTCTGTTCACAAACCACACTCAAATGATTTGTAGCTGGACCTCCTGCCTGAAAGAGTCAGAGTTTATGCTGGCAGGACGGGCCAGAATGCTGGTATTTTAAAATGGTATGGCTATTTTCCTGCTAATGTTGAAACCAAAAGGCATGTGATCAGCTTTTCATCAACACCATTTAAGTGTTTTGTGGCAGGGCCTCTTAAAAGAGTTGCAAGGTTTTACATCTAAAGCTGAGTCGGGAAGCCTCTCTTAAATGAGATGCATTTGCCTCTAGCAAACAGAGCCCACCTGAGAAAATACTGCTATCAATAAGCTGTTCTTAACTCTACTCTTTTTTGTCTAGAAATACTTTCTAAGCTCTCTAATGCTTTATGTGGATGTAGTTGTCCACATGGGTGCCATTTGTTGACTGAATATTCTGTCCTGCTCAGTTGCTGCAACAAAGTGTTCAAGGTCAGGGTAGGCTACATGAACCTTAGGGAGAATAAGCAAACAAACATGTCTATGTACAGTCTACTTTCTGGAATGGGAAATGGAGACTGTCAGACGACTCATCCAGAAGACACTTGCACCAAGTCTATGAGCTAAGATCTAACCTGGATTCCATAAGGAAAAAAGAGGAATTGACACTCAAAAATCATCTTTTAACCTTCTGGGAAGACATGACACATGGATACACACACACACACACACACACACACACACCAGAAATGTAAAATAAATTAAAATTTTAATTGTGAAATGTAGTATGTTCCATGAGTGTTTCCACTACACCCCCTTGACAATCAATCTATTCCAGTAGTAACCTGCCTGAGGTTGGAGGGTCAATGGAGGCCAAGGATAGCTATGGATGTGGCATAACACAAATTAGAAATTAAATCAACATGAAGAGTGGTTTACAATTTTACTTTTAAGTTGAAGGCAGAGTTGTTGAGGGTGACAATGTTGCTTTAAATTGTCAAAAGGTTACAGCCCTGATTGAGGACTGTCCTGTCTACAAACTGGCACAGGCCTGGCTGATTCTGCATGTAGCCTCTGGTTTTCAGACATCAGGAAAGGGCCAGAGTCAGGTGCTCAAGTTCAGAGTCATAGGAACTGCAAGGAGTGAAGTACAGAGAGGGGCAGGCAGGGTGCTGGGCAGCGTCTTGGACTTGCATCTCAAGCAGGGAGTGGCCAGATATTTCCCAATGGACTGTTGCTGAAGTTTGGCCACTTCCAATTGTGTCCTTTTATGAAGTTCAGCAACGAAAAACCTAGTGGTTAGTATTTGGAAATTCTACTGTCTACTTTGCTCAGGAAAGAAGTATGTGTAGGGTGTGTAGGAGGTGTGAGGTATGTAGGGTATTGTGGTGTGTAGGTTGTGTAGTGTGTGTAGGGTGTGTAGTGTGTGTAGTGTCTGTAGGATGTGTAGTGGGTAGGGTGTTTGGGATATGTAGTGTTTGTAGGGTGTGTAAAGTGTATAGAGTGTGTGGTGGGTGTAGTGTCTGTAGGATGTGTGGGATATGTAGGGTTTGTAGGATTGCAATGTGGTTGAGTGTAGGTGTATAGTGTGTAGGTTTGTAGGGTGTGTGGGGTGTGTAGTGTATGAAAGGTGTGTAGTGTATTTGGAGTGTATAGGTTGTATTAGGTATGTGGGATGTGTAGTGTGCCCAAGCAGGGCCAAGCTTCATTCCTGCCACTTGTATCTTAGTCAGTCATGATGGATGGGTGGGGAAGAGACTGAGGGACCCACAGGGCAACATCCCTAGAGGCCCAGGATGATAGAGCTGCGGGCAGTTTCAAGCCCAAAATAAGGGAATACCGGTCTGTCAAAGGAAGTTTGGAAGGTGTACACATGTTTGTTAGTGGTGGCATCATAGAAGACGACATCTCCACGGTCATAATCCACATAGACGCCCACTTTCTTAAGACAGATTGAGAGATTCTCCTGGTTACTGCAGTTGGTGATTGGCTGACAGTCAGAGGACGAGACTCTCAGTGCCCACAAGCAGCATGGCTCAGAGTTCTGAATCTGGGACCCCTGAGGCAACTCAGCAACCACACCCACTATGCCAACCCTATCATGGGGTCCCTGGATTTCCACCTCCCACACCCCACAGCCTGAAGAGAGGACTTGAGAGCCCCTCACACAGTGGAAAGAAGAGAGTTGTCTATGTTTTGCCTCAGTATTCTTTGTGTTGTCGACGAGGTACAAGCTTGCTTTCTTTAGATCCTTAGAAAAGGTGAGGTTTGGGTCAGCTGAGGTCGAGTCCAGGGTCATAGGTTCTGTGGGAAGATAAAAGTGAAGAAGGATAGTTTCAGGCCAAGTCCTCCAGCACCCTGCTTTTTGAGCTTCTCATGATGTAGTTAGAGGGATAATTTCTCCTTCAAATTCCAGTCTATATCCTCAGAGAAGACTCTGTTTCTTATGGTTTTCTGAGAAGGGGGTCTCATATAACCCAAGCTGGACTGAAATTTTCTGTGTAGCTAAGGAAGATCTTGAACTTCTCATCTTTCAAACTGCACCTCTCTAGTGCTGGAATTGTAGGTGTGGGATACATACCCATGCTCCCTACACCCCCTCTCCAGTACCTCTCCTCACCCTCCATCCTCAGGCCTCAAACTTAGCTCCTGCTTTTATGAGCTTCTGTTCTGTGGGTGCAGAGGGAAGCTCCCCGAATCCATGTTGTAGTAGAATCATTTCAGAAAGAGGCCTTGAACCAAGGTCAAAACACCCTGGACAATTTGGATCTTCTAACAATGAAGATACCTCTTCTCCATTTCCAGATTTCCTGGTTCTAATATGGCAAACAACTGGGGCTACTATGTGAGGTCAAGGTTCACCCAATTTTCTAAACTGGGGTCACCATTAGCCTGACTTTTTAAAACTGACTTCCTGGAGCCAGGAGATGACTCAGCTGACTTCCCCACTCATCCTTTGACTCCCACACATAGGCACGTGTGTGCACTCATGAGTGCACATGATAGCAGGTAATCCCTCAAACACAGGAGGACTGGAAGAAGTGGATATTCAGAGACCCCTGATATGCCCCCACTCTCGTATTAAGGCTCAGACCTTGAATGGCAGTTTATCAAAGCTACAGACTCTTTATCTGTCCTATTCAAAGGCTAGAGCACCAGTGGTCCCAGCTCTGCTAAAGTTTAGAAAGTGGGAACATTTTCGCCTCTCATTTAGTGTTGCATCTCAGCCTTTGCTGCAATGTTAGTTCTCCTCTGCTGTGTGTGGGGTTGGGGAGATGGCCGATGTGGAAGTGAGCATTAGAACAACTGGCCAGGGTCACTGGGGTAGGTAAGAGGCATGATCCAAGCAGATCTTACCCATTTCTAACCCCCAGACCTGGCTAAGTTGTATTACTGGGAGATAGGGGGTGGGCACAATGACCATAGAGGAAGACATTGGTAGGAACTTCTGTCTACCGGGGGCATCAGAATCAAAGCAATTAGGGGAAGAGCAGTACTGGGTGAGAACAACCACCATGGGTTCTATTTTGTTGGAGGTGCTCATTGCCAGAAACAGTGATGCATAAATCTCTAATTCCAGCACTTTGAAAGCTGAGACAGAACTACCATGAGTTCAAAGGCAATATGGGCTACATGAGATTCTGTCTCAAAGTAAGCAAGCAAACAAACAAACAAAGAACCTGGGAGGATCTTTGGCTGTGCAGGCATGAGGACATGAGTCGTGATTCCCAGCATCTAAAGATAAAATCTGGGTGTGGCCCTGGAACACTTGTTACCCTGGCGCTGAGTAGCAGGGATGACTGGATGGGCATGGGCCTCAGTAGCAAGACAGCCCACGCTATCTAGAGAGCTTGAGGTTCAGTGAGAGATTTTGTCCATGAAACTAAGGAAGAGTGTGAAAGAAGATGCCTAAGTCTAGCCTCCATCAGTACACACGCACACACACACACCACACCACACACCACACACACAGGGACGCACACACACCACACACACACACACATGGATGCACACGCACACACATCCACACACCACACACACATACACACCACACGCCACACACACCACACACACATACACACCACACGCCACACACACCACACACATACACATACACCACACATGCAAACCACACCACACACGCATATACACTATACACACATATACACACACATAGACAAACAAACTACACAGACTACACATACACCACACACACACAACAACACACACATGCACATACAACACACACATACACAGACACCCATGCACATTCATACACACCAGCTAGAGGGAGAGGAAAAAAAGAACTAGGAAAAGATAGGTAAGATGGCTTGGCAGGTACAGATACAGATGCTTGCTGCTAAGCCCAAAATTCACATTTTGTGAACGGTCTTCACAAAATAATCCTCTCAACCCCATTGTGCATAAGTATGCACACACAATAATAACCAAGAAAAGAAAAGTTTTTAAGAGAAAAACCAAAGGGTTTGGGAGAGCGAGAAGGAAAGGGCAACATCCAGGGGTGCGCAGCCCACAACTCTGAGGCTGTCAGTGTGTACAGAGCCCAGCTCACAGCCAGCTCCTCCTCCAGGAACATGGGGAAAGGGGCCCAGTTTTGCTCTAGAGCAGTGCTGAAGGGGGGGGGCTGTCCCACAAAGTGGAAGGGGATGGAATAGGGCTGAGCATTAGGTCCTGCTGAGCTGCAGAGGCAGTAGGAGGGGCATAGACCAAGCAGCAAGGTGCACCTGCATATTAGGGGTCCCCTGTTGGGGGCTAGGCTTCTGCTGTATCAAAGCTGTGAATGAACAGAACACTTTGACCTGCACACCTAGAGGTCCCTTGCTTCTCTAGAGGAAGACCCGTGTGCCTAGCAGGAATCCTACCTGAGGTGGGCAACTCTGAGTTATTCTTCTGTAACAGGTGCCCTAAGATTTGAGAGAGAAAACAAATTTTAGGTTAATAACAAGTAGTTATAAATTAAAAGTCATTTTGGGGATGAAGAGCTGATCCTGGCTTTTATCCTAACTACCCTCAAAGCTGAACCAATCAAATGATATCATTACAGGTCTTGTCCCTGCAGGTCTCAACTCCTCAGCTTTGCTGGGCTAACTAGGGCTGTTGGTAAACTCCAGCTGCAGACTGAACTGCCTCCAACTGAGCCTTGTGCAATGAAGGAATAAATCTATAAATTTCCCTTCATTTTGAACATTTCTTAATTAGTGGTGTATCACTATGATTACCTAAATGTAAAATATTAAAACAATTCTAGGGGGCTGGAGAGATGGCTCAGAGGTTAAGAGGATTGCCTCCTCTTCCAGGGGTCCTGAGTTCAATTCCCAGCAACCACATGGTGGCTCACAACCATCTGTAATGGGGTCTGGTGCCCTCTTCTGGCCTGCAGCATACACACAGACAGAATATTGTATTAAAATAATAAATATTTTAAAAAAATAAAATATTTTAAATATTTTTTTAAAATATTTATTTATTTATTTTGTTTACAGTGTTCTGTCTGCATGTGTGCCTGCAGGCCAGAAGAGGGCGTCAGATTTCATTACAGATGGTTGTGAGCCACCATGTGGTTGCTGGGAATTGAACTCAGGACCTCTAGAAGAACAATCAGTGCTCTTAACCTCTGAGCCATCTCTCCAGCCCCTAAATAAATAAATATTAAAAAAAAACAATTCTATAAGCTTGTTCTAGATTGGTGTTCACACACACACTGGAACTTCCACCCTTAATCTCCCATTGAAGAGAGATTCTGTATTCTTCACATTCCCCAAACAGCAGTGTATGCACACACTTACAGTTCTCCTTGTCCTTTTCATCCAGGCTGTTCAGGAATGTGCTTTTATCTTCCTTCCCTTCAGTGTTCAGGTTGTCTGTGAGGAGAGAGTGAAGGAGATGGAGGGTCCACAGAAATTAAGCAGACAACAGGGACCACACAGTGAGGCACTGATTGCTCATGTAGGAAAATGTGGTACTGGGATTTCTCGCATAGTCTCAGTGGACCAAGAAGGCAGCAAACAGGGAGAGCTGCTCTTGGATCTCCCTGATGTGGCTCCTCAGTACAGCCCAGTCCAGAACAGAAGTATTGGAGCCACAAGCATAAGCCACTGAATTTGGGCTTTTCTAGATGCTATTTTGGAAGCCTAAAAGACCAGGGCATGCTGACACTCAGGAAGCTGACACAGGAGGATGACAACTTGTAGTCCACAGTACACAGTGAGCTCCAGTGTCTCAAAAGGAAAGGAAAAGGGAGCTGGAAAGAGGCCTCAGTGGTTAACAACACCAGGGACCCCAGTTCAGTTGTCAGCATCCACTGAAGCTCCAGTCCCAGGGCATCTGTCACCGTCTTCTGACCTTTTGGACACCAGGCATATACACAATACATGCACTCAAAACACCCACACAAATAAAATAAATGAAACATTTTAAAACGAAATGGGTAAAATAAATTAAATAATATGTTTCTTTAGCTCAAAGTGTTAAAACTGCCATTTCAGCATGTCCAATAAAGGTTGAGAGCTACCTGGGCACAGTGCTGGGTGCTGGAGACCCAGCTACTCAGAAGGTCACTGCGGTCTTCCATAAGAGACTACCGTGGACAATGTTCCTGTTTGCTTTTGTTTTCAATGAAGAGTGCTTGTCAAGCAAGCACAAAGTCCTCAGCTCTAAACCTGATACAACACAGCATGAGGAATTTCTGTATAATGGTTCTTTGAACGTACTCAGCATTCAGCCTGGGTTCTGAAAGGCTCTGGGGCTATACCAGAGACATCAGGCAGTATCTGGGGTGATGGAAATATCCTTAGGCAGGTAAGCACAGGGAGTGGCAGTCACATCTTACCTGTTAATTCCTTCAGGCTTTCTATGATGGACTCGTGTCTTGCTTTTACTTCACTGATTTTTTTCATCAGGTTCAAAGGAACTGGGGTTGGGTTGTGAAACTCAAATTCTTCACCCCTGTAAAGATATGTTGATCTGAGTGGTAAGTTCAGGGATAGAGTCAAGGAGAAACCATGGATCCACTGCCTGAGGCAGACATGCCAGAACATTGCTGATAGGCCACAAGTTTCATAGTAAAATATAAAATACTGGAAATGGGTTAATACTAGATGTAGGAGCCAGCTAGCAATACACTTAAGTGATTTGTCAAGCAGTAATTTAAGTAATTTAGTTTCTGTGTGATTATTTGTGAAGTTTAGGCAGGCAGGAAAACAAACAAATGGCTTCCTACTACAGATCAAACCCATGAAAATATGGAAATGAAGATGGGAGATGGATCAGAAAAGGGAGAATGTATAGGGATTAGGGAGGTTGAGTGGGAAAACCAGGGATCACCCATTGACCAAGAGGAATGTGGAAGGGGAATGCAGCTGCTCTAAAGCTGGGTGTTGGTGAAAAGAGCTGTGCCCAGCAGATCACATGCTACTGTGGCCAGCTTGGTCTTCCCCACATGCAGCCTTAAGAGCTTATAGCCAAGTTATTCGAGGACATGAACATATTCAGATATACGTTGAATGTTGTATGTATGAGTGAAACAGAAAGCACAGTGCACTTGGGATGCCCATCATACCTGCCCAAGGTGTTTTTGATGTCCTGAAAGAGAAAGAGAGAACAATGTCAGAGTTTGCCTGAGGCACCAAGAAGGGGTTCAGACTCAGCTGGAGGCAGAGTGAGAACACTCCAGTTTTCCAACTTCTTTTCCTCTCTGTCTTTCTGTCTCTGCTGTCTCTGTCTGTCTGTCTCTGCTTCTTTTCTCTTTCCCTCCAATCCATTCTGAACTGCTACCCCCAAAAGTCCTGATAGGGTTGGGATAGTGTTTAAACCTCAGGAGACGCAGAGTGAGGAGAGAAGAAAGAGTGACATTTGGGACACAGGTGTTGCCTCTGATACAGAACCAGGGAGCTCAACTTGGCAGTGTTAGGACAAAGGTGGAGTGGCTGTCCAGGGTTCTTTAAAGAAAAAACAAAAACAAAACAGAAACCAGGTGTGTTAGTCCTGGCACTTGGGTGTCCTATTATTCCTCCCTCTTGGTTTGTTTGTTTGTTTGTTTGTTTTTATCAGAGACAGTTTAATGTATCTCAGGCTGGCTCGAATTCTCTGTGTAGCCAAGAACAGTCCTGAACTACCGAATCTTCTGTGTCTGACTCCTGAGTGCTGAGAGGACAGGAATGCACTAACACCTCAGTCCTCCCCACCAATTAATTTTTACTATTTAAAATCTAAGACAGCGCTCTTAACCTATGAGCCATCTCTCCAGCCTTATTTTTATTGTTTTTAATTTGTGTATATATGTGTGTCTGTATGTGGGCATGTAAATGAGAATGCAGGAACCCTACAAGGCCAGAGTGATCAGATCTAGGTCGGAAATTACAGAAGGAGGTCAGAGGAAAGCTTGTGGGAATTGGCCCCATTCTTCCACCGTGTGGGTCTTGGGATTGGTGGCAAGCAAGCGCCTTTGCACAATGAGTCTGAGAGATGCTTTAAAGAAACACATGTGTCCACATTACAATTCTAAACTGTGAGCTGGGTGTAGTGGTCCATAAAAGGGGATGGGGAGATGAGTAATTCAGTGGTTCCCTTGGTCACATGACCTTTGTCCTAACACTGCCAGGCTGCATGGGCTGCATGAGATCTTGCCTCAAAGAACAAGATCAAAAGGCTCTAGATGTTTTATGGCTCTCTTTCTTTTTCTTTTCCTCCCTTCTTTCCTTTCGTGTGTGTGTGTGTGTGTGTGTGCGTGCGTGCGTGCGTGCGTGCGTGTGTGTGTGTGTGTGTGTGTCCAGGCTGTCCTTGAACTCTAGTGGTCTAGGGAAGCCTCTTACTCTGGAGTGCTAGATTACAGAGGTGAAACACCACGCCCAGCTGTTTGAGATAGTGTCTTGATCTTTGATCCTGTTAGCCTTGGACTAGCAACAATCCTCTTGCCTCAGTGTCCTGAGAGGAGATTTGGTTAGGTCAGTGGTTCTCAACATTCTTAATACTGCTCACGTACAATACAGTTCCTCATGTTGTGGTGACCTCCAACCATAAAATTGTTTCCGTTGCTACATCATAACTGTAAATTTGCTACTATCATGAATTGGAATGTAAGTGTCTGATATTTTCTGATGGTCTTCGGTGGCCCTTGTGAAAGGGTTGGCAGATCTCCCAGAGGGATGGAGACCCACAGGTTGAGAACAGCTGGTTAGGTGAGGCAGGGCTGCAGTTGGTGGATTAGTTCAGGAAGGCAATTAAAATTAATAAACCATACCTCATACAGGAGGCTTATTAGGAGGAAGGACCTGGTGAGCACTGGGGCTTGGGGTAGAAGAGCATTAGAGAGGAACAGAACATTATGTCTGAGAAAATACAAATGGAGCCTTGGAGGAGCTACAGGCTTCCCTTTGAAACCTAGACAGGAAGGTCTTTATCAAAAGCGATAGCTTAAAGTAAGAAAGGTAAGGCTCATGGATTCTATGATGGGGTCGAAGGGAGCCTCAGGCAAATCCCCAAAGAAAGGAAAGTATCTGACATTGATGTCCTTTCAGGGAATGGTAGGAGTTTCTCAAAATTTCATTTCAGGGGTCAAATAACATGGAGGAGTCAGATATTAGGAGCTGTTAGGCCACAGCACAATACAGATATTTAAGTATCTTTCAGAGAGAGAGAGAGAGACAGAAGCAGAGACAGAGACAGAGACAGACAGAGACAGAGAGAGACAGAAAGACAGAGACAGAGAGAGACAGAGAGACATCGAGTCTTTTCCCAATGGACTGACCTCCAGTAGTTTCATGGATGGCGCTTGTAGCCTATTTTTCAGGGATTCCATGTGGTTTCTGAGGGTGGTCAGCTGTTCCTCTGTGACAGTGACATACTCTTCTATCTGCTTGACTCCCTCCTGCTCCAGCCAGCTCAGCCTGGACAGGAGGAATCTCTCTTCCTCTTCCAGTCTCTGGCGCACATGTTTAAATTCCTCAAGGATCTTTAGTCTCTCTAGATGTACCTGGGCCTGGGGGTAAGGGAAGGGATGCAGAGATGAGGGAGGAATGAGAGAGGATCCTCTAAGCTTCCTTTAAGCCCATCATTCACTTTTTAAATCAATCAACCATCAACCAATTAATCAATTAACTAAAAGGCAAAGTCTCACTATATGGTCCTGGATAGCCAGGAACTCACTAAGAGCAATAGGTTGGCCTTGTATTCATAGAGATCCATCTGTTTCTCCCTCCTAAGTGCTAGAATCAAGGGCATGCACCATCTGACACCATTCACTCGTTAGGAGTATGTAAAGACTATTCGGAGACTGGTTTAAAATAGCTTTCTGGAGCTTACCTGTGGGAAGGGGGAAGGGGCAAGGAGATCAAAGCACTTCCTGTGTTCAAGGATTTAGGCTCAATTACTTTATTTTTTTACCTTCAAGGCCATCAGCCAGACACACAACTAAGAAATCTTAGCACTTGGGAAGTGTAGAAAGGAGATTTAGGAAGCCAAGGCAGCCTCCATTCAAGGCCAGCCTGGAATACTTGAGCCACTCTCTCAACAAACAAACAACACCGCCATAGAAAACCCGGGATAAAGTTGTAGTTCAGTTGACAGGGTGCTTGCTTAGCATGTGTGTGGTCCTAGATTTCATTCTCAGCACTGCATAGTCTGGGAATGCTGTTATAGCCCTGTAATTCCAGTACTGGGGGAAAGACAAAAGGGTCAGATGATGAAGGCTATCCTTTTTCTGTATAACAATTTCTAGTTTGTGCTACATATGATACTGTGTCTAGGAGCTGGAGATATGGCTCAGTAAGGGACTTTGTTGCTCTTGCAAAGGACTCAGATTCAATTCTGAGAACTCACATGGTTGCTCACAACCATCCTAACTCCAGTTCCAGGGATCCAGTGCCCTCTTCTGATCTCCATGGGTACCAGACATGCACCTGATATACATACATACGTGGAGGCAAAGCATTCATTCACATAAAATTAAACCTAAAAACAAGTAAATAAAAGATTCTTAAAAGTCAATGGGGAAGAACATACACAAATGAAGAAAGAGAGAAAAGAGAGAGAGATAGTGAATGAGTGAAAGAGAGAGAGAGAAGGAAAGAGAAAAAGGAGAGAGAAAAAGAGAGAGAGAGAGAGAGAGAGAGAGAGAGAGAGAGAGAGAGAGAGAGCTCTTTTCAGTTTAGCTGCCTTCATACTGAATTTCCCATGGATGGAGCTGGAGAGATGATGCAGGGGGTAAGAATGCTTACTGCTCTTCAGAAGACCTGAATTCAGTTCCCAGCACCGATGAAGAGCAGCTCACAAATATCTGTATTTCCAGTTCTTCTGGTTTCTGCTAGGATTTGCACACACATGGCTTTCACTCACACAGACATATACACATAGATAAAAGTAATACAAAACCTTTTTAAAAAGTAAACAATATCAAAATCAGGTGGAGACATTTGGTGTTGTCATAGTCTCTTGTCTTTCTTACTGTATAATCAGTCTCTAGTAAAAAGGGGCTTGTGTGAACCAGTGTGTGTGTGTTTCTGTGTGTAGTGTGTCTGTGTGTGTGTCTGTGTGTGTGTGTCTGTGTGTGTGCTCATGGTCCTTACAAAGCCTTCTGTGGGTGGAGGAGCAGAAGCCCTCCTGGTTCACTGGTGCAGCACCCAGGCAGGTAGGTCCGGACAGCTCAGGAGCAAGGCTCAGGCACCACACCTTCTGCTCTGCCCTCGCCATCTTGTCAGCAGGACTTTGTTCCAGCCTGGTGTATAAGGAGTGTTCAGACATTTCCTCAACAGAGATGCTTAACTTTCTCAAAAGTGTTTGGAGTGAATATTTCTTACCCTGAACACCTGGATTGCTCCTTCACCTTCCCTTTTCTCTTTAATGATTTCCTTGTCCTTTTGCCCCAAATCCTGGAGCTGTGTCTCAATCTGCACCTGTGGGGAGAGGATGCTTCAGTCAGGTTCTGCCTCTGGGAGGCAGGGAAGATATCCCAGGGTACTGATGTCATTATTAGCAGCCCCCCTTTCTTTCTCAGGGATCAAACCAATTTTCTCCTTGTATTATGTGATCCTGAGGGTCAAAGTCAAGTCCTCAGACTTGGTGGCAAGTGCCTTTAGTCTCTGAATTATCTCCCCTGCCCCCAAAGTACTATTCTGATTATTCTTCCTGCCTTGTTTACAGATTGGTATTTCCCAGAACCTGGCCCTATGAGCTCACTGGGCCCAGCTGCACACTGCCAATTCAAGTGTTAAGAGTGCAGCAGTCAGTGCCAACCAGATGGAAAAGGCAGCAGTTCCCAGGTCCCCGGGGAGTTCTACTCTGCTGAGCTGGGGACAGAGAAGGAAGCAGGTGCCTACCTTGTAGTTCTGGGCAGCCTCATGTATCGAGGTAACTTTGTAGGATATTTCGTCCTTGGGGACACGACACTTCACACATAGAAACTCTGAATCATCCTCACAGAAGTAATGTATCTGTTCATTGTGCTTCTGACATCTTGGCTCTTCTTCTGGTTGGAACTCAGCAGGATCCATAGCCTGGATTTTCTCTGCAATACTAGCCAACAGCTTATTGGGCCTGAATGCATCCATATTCACAGGAAGTTTGCAGAGCGGACAATGGAGGATTTCTGCAGTTTTCCCAACCTGATTGATGCATTGCAGGCAGAAGTTGTGCCCACAGTCAATGGTGACAGGATCCCGTAGAATTTTCATGCATATGGGGCAGGTCACATCCTCCAGTAGTTTGCTGACCCGCTGTAGGCTTGCCATGATGGAGCAGCAAGGCTAACTTGATATGTGAAAGCCCAGAAGTCCGAGGCAGGTGCCAGTACTGGGAAGAGAAAATGAAACAGGAAGCAGAGGCTAAAGAGCCTCTCAATTGGAAGACTAGAGAAGGACAAATGAAGAGGGGGTTATGTAAATGAACAACAGAGAAGAGGAAAACTTAAATGGGGAATATTGTAAAGAGAAGAAAACAGTCAGTCCTACCTCACCGTCTCTCAAGAACAAACAGATACTATGAGTTCCTGCTTCCTATAACATGGAGCAAGGATCTCTGGACCTTGAACTAATTATCTTTACAGGCAGTTGTCTGATAACAGAAGACCCAAGTGTCAAAGTTTACTCTACTACAGCTAGGGAGCGGAGGGCTAAGTGGCATTTCAGGGAGGTGTGCTAACCCCCTAGATCTCTTACTTACCCCATCTCTTCTGGTGTTTTTTTTTCTCCCTGTCTCTGAACCATCCTCTGTTCTGTTTGATCTACCAGTTTCTTCCTCTGTCCCTGTACTTCTTAGATCTCCAGCTTCCCTGACCTGTTTCCTTTATCTCGACTAGGAAAGTATCAGCTAGTGTCATCCATGTACCCTTCAGTAGCTTAGTACTTCACTTCTTAACCTTTTCTTCTTCTTTCTTGTCCCCAGGGGCAAACTGCTTCTTCCTTCCTCTTTGTAAGCCCCAGTCTCTGGCCTCCATCTTTGGAGGGCCCATCCCTGTGCCTGCCAAGCCTTGACCCCTACCCAGAGGAGAGTCAAGAGAGCCTGCCAAAATCTTGACCACTCACCCAGTCTATCTAAACTGCTTCCGCAGAAAGTCCCCTTGTGGGGCTGGAGAGATGGCTCAGCAGTTAAGAGCATTGCCTGCTCTTCCAAAGGTCCTGAGTTCAATTCCCAGCAACCACATGGTGGCTCACAAGTATCTTTAAAGAGGTCTGGTGCCCTCTTCTGGCCTGCAGGCATACATGCAGACAGAATATTGTATACATAATAAATAAATTTAAAAAAAAAAAAAAAGAAAGTCCCCTTGTGGTCTCTATTGTCCCTCTGACCCGTGGATCTCCTTCAAGGATTCCTGGTTCCCCCTCAGGGCCACCCAAGAATGCAGGAATCCTATTATACCTGGATATTTTTTAATTTGGCTTTTTGTGATTTGGCTTGATTGGGATTTTTTGTGTTGGTAGAGAGCTCACATTAGGAAAGTTTCTTACATCTTGGAGGTCCCACCTGGTAGGGCAGCCTTACCGCATGGCCATAGGCCATGTGTCAAAAGCTCCCTCTCTGAGATCTCCACACCACACTAAAACCAGCTACTGGGCTACAGCGGCTGCATCTTGGTGAGTCCCTTTTTCTTGTCTATGCTATAGGGTTTTGAGGGAACTTATTTGTACTTACTTTTGTCGATTATCAGACTCTTATGGAAGCCGCAGGCCCATGCCAAGAGTTCCAACCTTAGTAGCTAGACCAGCAAGACTGGGTCTAACTGAGATGGACTTTGTTTGCTCTAGGAACACCTAGCATTCAATTTCCATGACCCCATTATGCCTAAGAGCTATTTTCAAGGACACATGGTAATAGGCTTAGGCCACACGATTGGGCATAGACTTTAAAATAGACACTTGCAGTTCAAAGCCAGATCCACTGTCACCCCTGGGATGCCTCTTACAAAATCTTTATAAATTGGGACTATCCAACACAGTCTGTCCTGAGCTGCTAATTTCCCTATGTACTAAGATTTGGCCTCAATACTATCTTGGCAATGGGATGCATTGGCCACCAGAAGGAAACCTTGAGCTTACTGTCCTTCTGGACCTAAAACATTTTTGTCACCATAAGGACAAATGGGCAGAGCTTACATCTGTCCATGGTTTTTGGGCTCTGTGCTCCCACCCTTCCCTTAGTAGCCAGTGTCTCACAGCACCAGTCTTGGTAGCTAAGGACAAAATGCCTACAAATTCCCAGTCATCTGGGAATTGGGACCCTGACAATTCCAGCTGGAACATGCAGCCAGAGGCACTGTCCCCTGCCCCACCCCCTCAAGCCTGCACTACCCAACCTCCTCCTGTGGAGCAAAATTCTTCACATTTCTCTCCTTTCCTGTCAACTGCCTCCCTTGCCAATCCAGAGGTTCAAGGTCAACTTTCACCTTACCCACCTTCTTCTCCCCCTCCCCCTTTTACCTCATCTCCCCACCCTTGGCCCCCTCTGGGCACTGGGCTAGCCCCTCCAAATCCTCCCCAGTCTCCTCCCATACTAGATCCTACCATGGCTCTGCCCTTCTCTGTCCTCTCTGGGAAGTGGTGGGAATCCATGGCATTATGAAAGTTCATGTTCCCTTTTTCCTTCCTGATCTCTCTCAGATAGAAAAGAGGCTAGGTCCTTTTCTACTAATCCTTCTGCTTATGAAAACCCAGCCATTTTTGTAAATTGATTACAAGAGACCATGGTCCAATATACCAGGCTAGATCCAGCCTCCCCAGTGGGAGCCAAGGTCTTGGCTACCCGTTTTATTTCTCAGTCAACACCAGATATTAGGAAAAAGTTAGGAAAGTTTGAGGAGGGTTCCCAAGCCCCTATACGGGAATTGGTGAAAATGGCCTTTAAAGATTTTAATGCCCGAGAAGAAACAGCTGAGTCTTCCCCACAGACAAGGTTACAGCAGGCAGCTAACCTGCCTTAGCAGCTGCCTTAAGGTCATAGGAAGGGGGACAAGGGAAGCCAACCTCAAGGCTCTACCCTGGTGGAGCCCAGCCTAAGTCAACCTCACAGGCAAGCTGTTTCAAGTGTGGCCTAAATGGCCATATGGCATGGTATTGCACTGAACCTCCTACGAGGCCATGCCCTATCTGCTAGCAACCTGGACACTGGAAATCACAATTCCCCCATGCCGGCTTGTCCTCTATGCCACACCACGGAGGTCTGGCCTCACCAACATCGGCAAGTGAAACTGTGCCAGTCTTCAAACTTCTCAGCCTTGCAGAGGATTGAAGCTGCTCAGACTTGGTATATCCTGTAACCTGATCCGAGCTTAGGGTAAAGCTGCAGGTAGCAGGTAAGTCCATTACTTTTATTTTGGGAATGGGAGCCACCTATTCTGTTCTAACATCTCACTCGAACCTATGTTCCCCTCACCAATTTCAGTTATGGTGGTAGATGGAACCCGTTCCTCCCCACTTAAACCTTGCCACTCCCCTGCATTCTTGCAGGACAATTTTTCTCTCACTTTTTCTTAGTGATACCTGCTTGCCCAGCACCTTTACTGGGTCAAGATATCCTTAGCTGCTTTGGGGCCACAAAAACAAAAGATGGATGGTTCTATTTAAATAACCATCTCATCCTTCCTCAAGACCAGGCATTGTCAATCATTTCAGACATCCACCAGACATTACACATGAGTCCCAAAGCTTTGTTCTGCTTCTTGGAGCCCCTTTTTGACCCCACCCATTTCTGAGGTTCTATTTTACAGATTCACTACTCCTGCCAGGTGTGTGCCCAGGCCAACCCACAAGGGGCTCTCCACATATGTCAGTCTCTACATCGGCTTCATGACACCAACCAGGCGAAGATTGGCAGGTTGATTTCACTCATATGCCTACTCATTAAAAACTCCGTTATCTCTTAACACTTGTAGACACTTAAATAGGATGGATAGAAGCATTTTCAGCCTCCAGGGAAATGGCAGGTGTGGTGGCTCAGGTACTCCTGGACCACATCATTCCTCATTTTCGTGTCCCATGAACCATCCAGATGGACAGTGAGCCAGCCTTCACTTCCAGTGTCATGGAGCTCACGTCAGAAGCTCTCAACATCTCCTGGAAATTCCATATACCATACCATCGACAATCCTCGGGAAATGTGGAAAGGGCCAATGGACTCATCAAACAACAGCTAACCAAGCTCTCCACTGAACTCAGGCTATCTTGATCCTCCCTTCTCCCCATTGCCCTTACTCGCCTCAGGGCCACCCCACGTTCCCCTATGGGCCTTAGCCCTTTTGAGCTGCTTTATGGAAGATCCTTTCTCCTTAACCATCACCTCCCAGTCCAAACTCCTCTGCTGTGGGAGCACATTCTGCTCCTTCAACCAATAGCCTTTAAGATACCAGCCCATTTGGGCGTGGCCTCTTATAGTTTAAAAAGTAGCAGGAACCGTGTGCCTACTCTCCTGCTTCTGGTTCCTGTTCTGGCTGCTAGACACTGTTTCTGGTCGCTCAGAGACTATTGTTTATGAAGGTGATCTGTAGGCTTTCCCCTTAAATAAATAGCTCCTTTATTATCAACAATTCTGAACTGTTGTGGGATTGTTATACAGCATCACTCCTCCACTGGCGGGGTACCTACCTTACCTCTCCCTTTTAAGGTCCCTTCTCCATTCACACTCTGACAGTTGTCTGCCTGCCGATACACCAGGGGACCTAATGCCCCTAAACCTGCCCTGCTCTCCCCAGGGGACAGAGTACTCCTCAAACAAATAACTCCTAGGTCTCTTGAATGTCAATGGACAGGACCTCACATGGTAATCCTCACCATCCCCTCAGCTACCAAGCTCTTGGGACACTCATGCTGCTACCATCTCTCCAGGCTAAAGCGGGCACCTACTCAGGACACTTGGTCTGTCCAACAGACAGGACCTTCCACCCTCTGGTTTTCCAGGATGCCACAATGAAGGGTCTACCTCATCTTCTTGGCACACTCATCTTTGGTGATAACACTATTTTTTTCCTAGACATCTGACTTCTCACTTTTCCCAAGGAACAGATGCCTGGCATCTCCAGGATGACAGTACACGGGATGCCTTTCCAGCCACACCTCTCACTGAGCATGGACCCACCAACACCCAGCTCTCCCCTTCCCCATGACATCCCATGACTGCAGGAAGCATCAGACTTGAGTCAATGCCCCCTTTTCCTCAGAGAGCCTAAATGTTGGTAAATATTACCTCAGCTTCCTGTTACCCCTTATACAAACAGTCTGAATTGTAAGTCCCAGTCTCTGATCTTCCTCTTTGGAGCCCCTTCCCTGTGCCCACCAAGCCTTGACCCCTCCTCAGAGGAGGGTCAAGACAGTCCACCAAAAACTTGACCACTCCCCCAGTCATTTTAAACTGCTT